ATATATATATATATATATATATTAGTGCTGTCAAACGATCACAATTAATCACAATTAATCACATCCAAAATAAAAGTTTTTGTTTACATAATATATGTGTGTGTACTGTGTTTATTTATTATGTATATATAAATACACACACAAACAGCATATATTTTGAAAATATTTACATGTATATTTATATTCATATAATTCATATAATAATACATTTATTATGTAAACAAAAACTTTTATTTTGGATGCGATTAATCGTTTGACAGCACTATTATATACATATCAATACACACACACACACACACATACATACATATTTTTTTCTTCTTTTTTTTCTGACGATTATTATTTCCCATGCCAGGCTTTACAGAGTTACATTTTCAGAGTTAAAAGTTTAAAATGTCTCAGTTTCTCATATATTTTCCTGAAGTCTGATGACCTCTGACCCCTCACCCGCTCATGAAACTCGGTGATGAGCCAGAACTCCGTCTCCAGGTTGCTTCCGCGTTTCTCGGCGGCGATGAAGCGCAGCAGGTTCTCGTGCTTCATGCCCGGCGTGGAGAACATGTCGCGCTCGTTCTGCCACGACTGCTTGTCCTGTCGATACACCACACACACAGCTTTACAGACCACACACACACACACCGACTGAACCCTGAGCTGGCTTGTGTCTGTATCGTCTACCTGAACGGGGAAGATCTTCACGGCTACATAATCATTCATCATCTGAGCTTTCCAGACGCAGCCGTAGCGTCCTCGAGCTTTAACCTCCAGCAGCTGAAGAGGCTTCAGACCCAGCAGCGGCGAGGGAGGAGACGCACCCGGATCCTTTTGTGTTTCTACCTAAGGTTGTAGCACTTTAATTCATAAATGTGAACTAACAAAGGTAGAGGGCAAATACTGAATAAATAAGCTTTCCATTGATGTATGGTTTGTTAGGATCGGACAATATTTGTTTGAGATACAACTATTTGAAAATCTGGAATCTGAGGGTGCAAAAAAATCTAAA